TTGGAGTGGATCCGACAAAGACAAGAGAGACTGGAATGACCATATCTGGCTTGTTATATATAGTAGCAGATACGTGTACACCGATTTGATAGAGGACACACTCGTCCGTCCACCGCGGGGCGGCTAGGAAATAGGCAGAAGGATATTGCCGACAAAGTCATGGGACACTACAGTGGCCAGTTCTGGATTGTTTGCCGTCATCAGGTAGTGATACCCAACTCCAGTGTTGCTGCTGAAATTGCTGCCACACTCGAGTTTCCAACTCGCGTCTCTCCGGTCAGAGGCAAAGGCAGTTTGGCTAACCAACTGATAAAATGTGGGTATTTTAAATGATTGTGGGTCATAATTTCAACCGAATTTATCACTTAGTTGAACGAGGACGAGGGAGGGGCATTGGGGTCTTATTCTTTTGACGTGACACGCAGCTATAAGCTTACAGACATGAGACGGTTGATCTTGGCGATTACAACCATACTGCCGTCAGTTGCATTTACTGCTCCGCTTGGGGTCCTCTCTTATGAATCTCTCGTATGTCGATTTTCGACTCGTCATGAATGCCTTTTGAGCAATAGCAATAGACGGTACGCTAAGTCTTTGCCCCATCTTGCGTTTGAAATTTTTGTCTGCTTCTCGAGCATGCTAACTTTCCTCTTCTACTGCATGTTTGCGTTAAGCGTCTGCAGCTTTTGAGATCTGCATGGAAAGGCAGTGAATGCTGCCTATAAAGTTGATTTACATTTTCGCATCTTTTTAATATTAAATTTGTAAGAGATGCTACGATCCTGCTTTCTACCATTGTTTTGCCTTGAAGTGAGAAGTTTTCCCTTTCAAATTCTAGTTTGCCGCTTTCGTTTCCGCATTTATTCTACTGGTCACTTTTTCCCTTTTTAGACAACAGTTTAAACATGGTGTCTATTAAAACCTAAACCAGGTGACTAATTAATTGCAATATCAGAGCAACATTATTTTTTTGTTGGACTGGTAATCGAACCGGCCATCGTTTTAGTTAACTTGAAATTGGCAAGAAATAAATTGATGCTATTTCATTACCCTTTTCTCCTTTTGTTCAAGTACAACCCGTGATAGCAAAGTTTTCATACATGGCGCTATTATTTCTGGACAATTTTCGACGATTGTTAAGTTTTTTACACTCTTTCGTACGAAATCTGCGCTTTAGAATTGAGTAGCCAAAATCGTTTTGTTTTATACGGTAGCAGCAGCAGCAGCTATTGCACTATCAGTAAAATTTAATTATATGCTATTTCATACACAGTCTGAAAGATAATGCGTTTGCAGTTCTATATTAAAACAATGTCGGCTACCAGTCCCCCCTAACGCTGATCCGCTTTTTAACCCCGATCCCCGCCCCTCAACTCCCCTGACAGCTGCATTATTTTTTTCTACCAACCCGCATAGTTCATTTAGTTAATTACCACATAAATGTAAAGGCCTGACGGGAATCTATCGAAAACATATGTATGTTCGCCAATCTATTTTCTGAATCTGACATAAATGAATCTTCGAGCTACAGTCAGGTTCCGACAAATGACAGTTCGACCCTCGTATCCTACACGGTTCACCGTGTGTTCAACAACATAGCGGCATCGGTACGGTGCCTTGCGCATGAATTATTTTTTAAGTAATAGTAGAATGCATTTTGTCTTCCCCACTCTCTCTCCCTCTTTCTCTCTTCCCTTTCTCACTGGTTTTCTGCGTCGAGACAGAGTCAAGAAGACTAGAGTCGGGATCGGGCGCAGGTGGCTGGCGCGGCGTGAATCTGCACTTACGCGTGTAACTACACATCTCCCCATGTTCGGCGTTTGTTAGGAGATTAGATCCCAATTAACGCCTGCCGTCTCCTGACCCAGACGCTTAATTAAGGCGAACTCTGTAAACTCGTATTGGTAGACAGTGTTTCCTACGAAGTGGAATCCAGCGGATTCCGGTTCATTTGATTAGTGCGCACATTGTCCGATATATCGCCTCTCTGCCTGCCACCAGTCGGATATATCTGTGTTACCTCCCTCTGGACTCGCAATGCAAGCCTCCTTTGATGCAAGCGACGTTTCCGCCGAGAATGCATAAAAACCCTTGTACTTCGAATATTTCCAATGCATCACAGACTGCACATACTACTGCAACATATTCGAACTAGACTGAAAATATGGAATTCACGGGACTAGACGGAATGGAAATTATAAGTGAGGTAGTGATGAGGGTTCATCGTTCGTCAGAATTATGACTTTATTCGTGTGAGCTTTCGAATTCGGACTGGAATCTATTGTGAGAGATAAAAGCGATGACACAAAACGAGCAACAGTTATAGGAAGCGGGGGTGGGGCCATCCAAACACAAGTGTTGCCAGTCCGGAGGTGACTGCACAGAACTCTGTATGCGAGCGAACCTTCTACTCTCAAATACGCCGTGATTGCTCTCGTTCTAAGAGTAGCGGCATGCGAATGGGGACCTTGTATCGGCCAGCTGGAGTGTGTTTATTAACATTTTAAAATATGGTTTCGACTAAAGTGCGTTACTAAATTTCCATTTTTTTCAGCGTGCATCGAAATCTCCGGGTAGTGCATAAAATTCGGAGTGCTGACTTTCGGTCGAGAATTATTTAAGTTCCCTGTAAACATCTTTCCATAGCAGATTACCTAAGTATTGTGCATTAATTCCATGGAGGTTTAATTATTGTATAGATTATATTATTTCTTGTTGAAAGGAAAGCCAAAAACTCATTTTTATGTTCAGTTTATGAAAGGTTGTACCGTAGGTGCATTATTGGTTGATTTCGGGCGTCCTTCGGTTTGAAAATCCGTTAAACTTTGAAAATGCCGGAATGTGCACCCAAGTGGCCAACAGCATCTGAACACATAAATGCTCCTTTTAAAGTACACGGCAGTGTGTTATCTGTTCCGACCTTTTTTGATCAGTGGACGGATCCCTGATAATGGCAAAAACGGTTTTGTGATTTTATCTAAACATGAAATACACAGTATTAGATTTGAAAACCATTAGCTTACAAACAACAATAACAGTTTGATCTAGCGTATCCGTTTAATGTCGGAAACTAACCTTTCTTTAAATTCTAGATATTGAGTACATGCGGTAGGAGATTACCGACAAAGACAAGGAAGCCTAGAATAGTCA